ATAACTCCGTAATATTTGTATAATTTTTAATAGTTTATTAAGAAAAATTCAAATTAAAAATCAATTTTATAACCTCCAGAAAAAAATTATAATAATGTTCAGTTATTAATGTTAATAAACTTTTCCCAAGGATACACACTTAGGCATTGTACTCCTTATATTAGGTACCTGCCTTTGTATTTACTTTCTCATAAAACGTATAACTGAATGAACAAAAGAGAAATTTTTTTTTTTCATTTTTCAATTTTGTGATTCAAAAATTATACACATTTCTTCATTTAATTTTTATGTAGAATTGTGTTAATTGAAAAATTTTATCAGAAAATTGATCCTGAAAAAGTAAATATGTATTAAAAATGAGAGAGAAAAAAAAAATTAAAAAAAAATGTTCTTCTTATTGCTATTCAATATCTTTATAGTTTTTATTTCTTTACTTTCTCCATCTCTCATTTTCTTTTCCTCCCCCTTTTATTTTCCATTTTTGATCCTTACTTTCGCCATTATTACTACAGTTTTATTTTTTTTTTGCCAGTTTCTTTCATTTTTAATTAAAGACCATTTTGTTTTTTTTTTTAGTTCAATATTGTTTGGTAACCTGACGTAAAATGAGATAAAAAGATGGTAAAGGTATGGTAAAGAAACCATTTTAAAATGAACTTGGGCAAAGAAACAAAAGAAAAATAAGCAAAAAAAAATAAATTTATTTACTTTGTTCAGGTAAAAAAAAAAAATTATTGTAAGTGCAAATACTGTGAAATAAGAAACGAAGAAAAGGACCACGAAATATTGAACACAAGGAAAATGTGAAATGAATAAAAAGAAAAACACAAAAAACAATGAATTCTTATTAAGTCCGAGCATAATATAAAAAAATTAAAACAGAAATCTAATTAATTTTTTGGAACATATCGAATTAAATTTTGATATTTTTAAAATGAAAATTGAAAATTTAATGAATGTGTACCAGTCGTAATTTTCATACCAATTTGCAAAATTAAAAATTACTATTTGCTTGTCTTTCTTAAAGTTAAAATTTGAAAACTTTAATTGAAGTCGGTGCTTGTAAAATATTTGATATTTAATAAAAATTTTTAATTAAATGTAAATATTTCAAACTTATAATGTTGAGGCTTGTCATGAAAATGTGCTTGAAACTATTAGTCTTTTAAAAATTAGGAAAAAAAAAATTTAGAATTAATAAAAACCTGTTTAATTCTGATAATAGAATTAAATTGGATAAAAACGACTGAGGTGTGTTTTTTGCAATAATAAATAGAATTTTGTTTTCGTAGTTTGAATTATACATTATGTGCATTTACGATATTGTGTACTATTTGATAATTAACTTTGCTAATTTGAAAATTTCTGCAAAATATTTTTTTAGGGAATCTTTAAAAGATTTAAATAAAAATCTATTAAAAACTTAAGATAATTACATTGGTCACAACGTGAATTTTAAATTAGAAATTAAAGTAATGGAAGATATTTACGATAAATTTTTCCAAAATTTTTTTTTTCGAATTAGTTAAAAATTAAAATAACTTAAGTAGTTTAGAAAATTTGTAAATTTTTTTATTGAAATCGTGTCGGGGTTGTTTTCAAAAAACTTTTTGTAATTGAAGCTTAATAATTATTATAGCACTGTAAATATAGATGACAATTATAACTAGCGATAACACTACTTATCGTCCTTTCTAGTGTCTGAAATCTCCCAAATTCTTATAGCCAGGCGCGGTTCCTAAGCTGTTCGGCGCCCTACGCGGTTCTCAAAAAGTGTTCCCTACCGCTTTCCAAACAATGAACAATATGCAACAAACATTGAATATTGCATATAATATAAACTACGCCCCTATTTTCTGGCGCTCATTGTATATGCTTACTTTGCATATATGACAGATCCATCGCTGCTTATAGCCACAGTAAAGCTCATAATGAATGAATCATTCTTCTTGCTTAAAATTATTTTAAAATTTTAATAATTCTCGAAATTTTCCAAAACATTTGACAAACATAAATTTTGGAAAATAAAGCAAAAGAAATTTGTAGCCAAGTTCATTTGTAAATTTTTATTTTCATTAAAAATTTTACTTCAATATTCGTAAAATCTCGATAGCAACAAAATGTGAAAATAAAAGCAAAAACTAAAACTCTTCCAACAAAATTTGTCTATTTATCAAATTGATTTTTTCTTTTTTTTTTTTTAATTATCAATTATAAGTTTTCCAAGTTTTTATTATTGCATTCTAACAAAAGGTCCTTTTTTTTTTAGAATTTTTCAGGAAAGGCAGTTAAAAAAAAATGTATAGAAAATTTCGAATAATAGAAAAGCACTAACAATACACAATAAAAAATTTGAAAAATTTGTAGGGAAAATAGAATGTGAAGAAAACAAAAAGAATAAAAAGAATAGCAACAAAACGTAAAAAATGGTGGAAGGAGATAAAAGAAAAAACAACAAAAAAATAAAACTTTTTTTTTTGCCAATAAAAAAAATGAATTACTGCAGAAAAGATTTAAAGAGTCTCGCCAATAAAATGTATGCCGCCGAGAGAGTATTTGTTAAAAAAATAAAAGTAAAAAAACGAGGAAATAAAATTTCAAAAAAGCAAGAAAAAAAGAGAAAAAGCAAGAAACACATAAATTTTACTAATTGAAATTTATACCTGTCTATTGATTTTACAGCTCACAAAGGACTTTTTTTTTACAATAATATTAACAAAACAAAAAAAAAAAAAGAAAAAATTTATTTTTGTATATGATAAAAAAATAAATTTACATGTATGTGCAAACGTATGTAATATGCATGCATGTAAACGTATGTATGTATGAATAATTGTATATTATGTATAAAATAAGTTATTATTCTGCATACATACATGTACGAATATGAAAACACATTATCTGTACATTTGTGTATACGTGTATTAAGAGGTGGGGACGTGTGAATTTTCATATTAAATACTAAGTATCCTGTATAGTTTTACCAAAATTTATATAAATTATAATCATTGTTATTTAAATTTAGGAAAATCACGAATTGAAAAATCTATTTTAAAAAACAATGACTTTAGATAAAATCTTAAAAAGTTTTTAATAGAAATTAAATCAGAAGGGAAATTCTTGCAATAAAGATTAAAAATCTGGAACTTTCACTTAACAAATTTAATATAAATTAAGCTTGAGTGGAAAATATGTTGGATCACAAAGAGTGAGACTAAAATTTGTTAGCAAAAATTATTAACACATGTTTTTCAAATTTCTAAGTATAAGAAGAAACAGTACTTTAATGAGACTTAGGTGAAGAATTTCGGCTTATTCACTTTTACTATACTCCTTCGCGTTCATTTCCAATTCCGAATTTGGATTCTCAATCTGGGTGCAAAACTTTTCAAGAGAAAATGTTTTAACTTACACGAGATTGTGTTTTGTACTAAACAAGTTTAGGGCTTTAAATAAACTTTAAACTCATAAAATAAAATGTTATAATAATTTAAATAAGAAAGTTCAACTTTCTATCTTACTTTTTCCCATATCGTATATAATAATCAATTCTCACTTGAACTTAGAATAAGAGAAATATTTTTCAAAAACTGTACCTATTTACAGACTTAATCCTTGCCTTGAATATCAACCTTGATTTATGATACTTAATGGATGGCACACTCTGTATTATGCGATATAAATTTTATATATTTTTTTTTTGGGCCGCATTAAAATCAACTTGGGTAATATATGATTGTAATATGTTTTAAAGCCATTTTACATTGTAAAAAAAAAAAAAACAAGAATTTAAAGGGAAAACATTTTAACTTTAAAATATTATATGGCGTCGTTATTTTCCTATATATTATACAATAGGTCTTCTTTTTTATTCAAAAAAATACAAAAATAAATTTCACAAAAAATTTTCAATTTGTATTTTTTTTCCTTTATATGGCTGATTTTCGTTTTTTTTTTTTAGGGACAAATCTCTTTCATTTTCACGCTTTTATGCTTTTTATTCGCTTGCCGTTTTTACTTTTTTTTTTTATTTTATTTTTCATCCAATATTTTTAATAAAAAAAAATTATAAAAAAAGGAATTGTAAAATTTAATTTTAAAGTATTTTTTAGGAAACTTTTCTTTAAAAATGGTTTTATAATAAAAATTTGTGAAATTGAAAGAACGATTACCAATTTTCTTAAGATTGGATTTGAATTCTATCATAAATTAACTTATAATTATCCATATAATAAATTAAAAAATTTATAAGAATAGAATAACAGAAATTACAAATTTGATCACAATTTTTGGGACTTTGAAAAAGTGTAGGTACTCTTAATATTATAGAACAAATCGCTAATAATTTTTATTTCTGATATTTTTGAAATTTTTCATATTAATTGATCTTAAAATATTTTGCATTTTATTCTCTAAAATCTTCTTTGTCAACTAACAGGTTTTTTGTTGGCAAATTTCATATTAGTATTATTATAAAGGATAAAGTTTAAACAATATATTTTATAATTTTTAATAAAATATTGGGTTTAGCTTGTGTATTTCATGAAGTAATCAATAATTATTTCAAATTCGTTTACTGTAATCAACACCCCAGCGCTCATATTTTCCTTCTCTTTAGTACAATTGAATAAAACAAACAAAATAAATTTTTGTCCAATAATTTAAAAAAAAATTTTAATATTAACAAATTCCATTCTATGTTATGCTATAATACTTTTATTATGGCATGAAATTTAATATATATATATATATATATTTTTGTGCAGTTTACCCCGACTTTTACATATTGAAGCATTTTTGTTTTTTCCGAAAAATATTTTTTAAAATTCAATTTTATGTCCATAAACATAGTCCAGTTTAATAAGATTTTAAAAATATTGAACCCATCTTTATCATTTCCTCTTTAGTTTTTTTCTTCCGATTTGCGTTTAATTTTTATCAAATTATTTAATTAATTTATATATAATTAAAAATATAATTAAAGAAAAAATTTCACTTACCATCCGCCTTGTCTTGTCAATGTAAATCCAAATCTTGTTTCACGATCAACTGATACTCGAATACCAACAATTCCTAAACCTTGTGGTGTTATAACTTGGCCACGCATCACAGAAACACGACTAAAAAAATATTTTTAATTTTTATATATAAATTTATTTTTTTAAATTTAATTTTTGAGATTTAAATAATAAATAAATTTATTATTTTTGTATAATTATATGAGAAAGTAATTATTTAATATAATAATTGATTTTTTTTTTTATTAAAATAATTAAATAATAATTAAAATTGTAAATTTCCATTAACATTTAACAAAAAAAAAAAAAAAAAATTAAAAAAATAATGAAGATTTTTTCTTTTATAATTAAATTATGAATTTTTTTTTCTTACAATACTAATATTTATAATATTTTAAATTGTATAATTATATTAAATATCTAAATTCAAAAAAAAAAAATATTTCTAAATTGGTGATAATTTAATTATAAAAACGTACATAATTATTAGAGAGAGAAATAAAAAAAAAATAATAAAATTTTTTATGCTCTTTTTGTTGATATTTACAATGAGATTTTTGATTTATTTATTTTTTTTTTTCGATATCGAATATTTATAATTTAAAAAAAAAAACAAAATACAATGATTTTAAATACTTTATTGAAAATGTTACATATTTACAGATGAGTTTTTGTTTTTATTAAATAATAATGATAAAGAAAATAAAATTTTAAAATTAATAATTATATAAAAATATTATTTTACAGTTATATAATTATTCTATGTATATTCATAATGTATTTAAGTAATTTTTTATGAAAAGACTGTGAAAAAAATTAAATTTCCTATGGTCAATTTCCGAAATGTGCTGAAAACTAAAAAATTAATGCAACAAAATTAATTTTGAGATCGCCTTTGAACTTAAATAAACGGACAAAGTTTCTTTATTTAATTAATTAATTTTGAAGTTCATCACAAATCGATCTTTGCTCTGAGAAAATATTCGCTTCAAAAGTTTCTCATTACATTACGTTTAGAAAAGAAATTTATATTTAAAATAGCTTTTGCCTACTATATTATTTTGTCCGCCATTAAAATTTTACACGAAATTTTTTTTTACATATATCTTTACTTGTGTACAGTTTTATAGATTTAGTGCTAAAATTTGTTGAATTGTTATAGTATTACTGGAATATTTTTATATATTTTTTTATAGTATTACAGGAGCATGAACGTGACTTCATTAAAATAGTGTTGAGAAATAGGTAACATTTTAAAATTAATAGTTTTGTTTTGCTGAAAAAACGGGAATAAAATTGAGAAGATTATTGAATAAATAAATATTTTCCAGAATCAATTAACCTATTAAGAAAAGCTTTTAAATATATAACAAAAATTAAAAGTTTTTGTAATACTTGCAAATTCAAGACTTTTTTTCAAAACTATGAGAGCATATTTTAATAGTGACAAGTGACTTGGCACGCATACTTTATTTATAACACAATGAATAATCCTGTACATCTACTAAATTAGTGTTGAGAAAAATTTAATCAATACACGATATTGATTAAAAGTAAAACCTAAACATCGCATTCAATCATTTATTATACCCTCAATTGACCATAGAAATTGACCCCACCTATTCCATTTTGAGAAATACGCAAATTTCCCATATTATATAAAAAATATTACTGACGTGGACCTTAAAAGTGTTTGCATTTTTAGTATAATAATGTTTTAAACGTATTTAGTTAGTTTAACGTATTTAGTATAACAGTGTTTAAAAAAAAATGATACTGTCAGTATTATATGTATAAAATATAAAATATAGGCATAATATTATGTAATATTATTTTTATAAAAGAAGTAAATTTTTTAAAATAACTGAATGTGCATAATTTTGTTAAACCAATTTAAATTATACGTGTAAAATTGTTTAAATTCCTTAATTAGGTATTTAATTTCTATAGTCTTTGGTAATACCAATAATTGGAGGTGTTGTAATCGCATTTACTTAATACACATCAACTATAGTACATATTTGAAGATGAATTTATTATGTGGGTGTGTTATTTATGAAATTTTGTCCTCGTAATTCATGTTAACTTTTTCTGTTCAGTCTATTTTTTCACACATTCGCTAAATAATTTCAAGTACATACTTACTTTTTCATAATGCTGAATTTAATCGTTTTACGTTGAAAATCTAGTTTAAAACTTTAAAAAGTAATTTATATTTTAATATTCAACTTATAAAATAAATACAAAATATATTAATTATTTTGTATTTTTCATGACAATAATGTCAAGTAGATATTTTTTAATATGTATGTAAAATGTAAATTGAACGATAAAATAACTACAAACATTTGTGAGTATTTGAATGTGTAATTATATTCGATAATGTAATGCTATTCGATATTATCATTAATATTATATGTGTGTATATGTTCATACAAAGAATAGTATAGCTATATAAGCTAGTAAAAATTTGAAATTTAAATATGATTTTTTAAATGTCACTGGTCATGAAAAACAAATCAGGGAAAATATTCTTTGTTCTTGTTACAGATGGGAATATAATTCGAGCTTAATATAGGTTTATATTTTTCCAGATTTTGAAATTATGCAAGAACTTTGAGAACTTCGTATAACGTTTAGTTCGTTCAGACAATAGAGTTTTGTTCATTCTGGTAATAGAAGCGTGCATATAACAGAGAGATGGCCCTGTTTCTTGGTGGTATCATAACCTTTTGATATCAACAAATTATGAGGCTAATTTACAGATTCAAGTTTCCTGAATAATATTTTGCGGAAACTTAGGGTAGAATTAAGAGCAGCTGTAGGATATAATTATACCTCACGAAATATCAATATCTAAACCAATATATTTCTCAGATCCACGCTTGGGGTGCAATGAGATTTTGTATATGCATGAAAATAATTTCGATTTTAAAAAAAAATATCAATTATGAAAATATTGCTTACGAATTAGTATTGCATTTTCATTTGAAAATTGTATGAAACTTTAGTTCACAGAATCTGTTGAACGGTACTTTGCCAAACATCAAGCAATTTTCAATAATAATGTTTATACTAAATTAAAAATTTCGATTATAGTTGATTCAATTATACTAATTTAACTTTTGTAAAAATTATTGTTATAGTAGCGAACTAAAATTTATTGCATAAATTTAATTAAACGTAATGGAATTCCGAATAAAATTACCATAAAAATTTAAAGAGTGTTGACTATTTTATGAAATAAATAGAAATTATTCATGATAATTTAATTTTTAATAAAATAAAATTCATTTGAAAGGCGGCTATATCAAAAACAAGAATAACAATATTGCAGAACAATAAATATAAACCTTTGAAATTTTCTTTATTAAAATCAACTTTCTTTTATAAAAGGAACACATATTGCATTTTACATCAAATGATATTATAATATAAATAAAAACTAAGAAGATACATACATATGAGATCCTAAATTTATCGTGTTATGTATTGTACCCCTGCGACAAAATTATATTAAATTAAGAAGGTATAGTTCTTATATTACGCTCAACGTATAGAAAATTGAAATATTGTAGACAAATACTTTATAACTAATTTATAGGCCTCTTCAAGTTATAGGTTTTTGGAGAATGCCATTGGGAGTTTATGACTATTTGCTGTAGTTAGATCATTTTATAAATTATAGAAAACCACAAGGTTGTAATTTATTTTTTCTGTTATAATAAACGATTACCGAATATCAGGTTGTCGAAGCGAGCTTTCAATTCACCTATACGGCAACCTATACGGCAACACCAAGGAGCTTGATATTTTACGATTTTATATAGATGTTATTCCCTATTAATACCTCTTTTATATTGAAAAGAGACAATTATTCGGTATTTTATTTACCGTCCTACCTAAATTTTATTTTTCGTCCTACGAAATTATGCAAAATTCTAAATTTATGAAAAAATGATATCAGTATATGAGAATATTACTTCAATTGATCTATTTAATAATTTTGCTACAGATGTGCGATAAACAAAAGCATATTCCTTTTTATATTTCATTTAGTTAAAAAACCAAGTTTGCATAGTTGTTTTCACACACTGGTTTATACATATTGTAAATTTTAAGTAAAAAATTCTAATATGCAACATGTCTGCTGTTGTTATTTTCTTCTTTTATTTAAATTGCATTAATATTTTCTTAAGCAAAAATATATGTTTGTACTCGTATAATACAGATATACTAATATATTATAACTATAAGAATATATAAGCGCGTATGTGTGTTAGTAAATATGATTTTAACCTAAAAATTATTTATAACAGTAGCATAGAAGCGAAGAGCTTTAGTGTTTTTTTTTTATGATTTTTTGTTTTTGTTCTGTTTTATTTTTTGCCATAAAAATAGAAAATTGCTATAGGAAAATCACTTTAAAAAATATGAAATATTATCATAATACATACATATATGTTAACATACCACACATGTATGTATATACCAAAACCGTTAATGTAAAAAAAAAAATTCTTTTTTTTTTGTTGCTTGACCTAAATTGCAGGATAATAACATTTTAGCCATACCATTTTTCAATTTACTTTATAATAATATGTGTGTGTAGACATACTTATAAGTACGTATTAAAACAAAAGGAGAACATAACCTTTTCTGTCAGAATATTTATTCCACACATATAAATATATACATACTTTCATATATGTTATGTTTACATCGTCAATAATTTATGTATGTATATACTTAAATATATGTGTGTGAGTATATATAAATTTAATAATAATATTTTTTGATGTTGATTTATTTCAGGTTGTTTTACTTTTCATTTTTATGTTTTTCTTGTAAGTAAAGAGATCTTTTTTTATTTTACATTTATTATATTTAAAAACAAAAATATTATATTAAAAAATTTATCATGAAAAAGTTAAATTTTTTTTTATAATTCTTCTTTTTGCAAATTATTGTCTGTCTGGCCATTTCAAAATTTAAATAAAGAAAATAAATGAATTTTTCTCATGTAAAATGTTGGAGTTGTTAAAAGTGCGATTTTATTGAATAACATTCAATAAGATTCACAATATCAAAATTCAAAATTC